AACAAGCCAACTGTGGCCAAATTTGTGTCCATACCATTCCTAGCTGTGCAAATGCCCTTTTGATGCTTGTTGACAACAGCAATGCAAAAAGAATGACAAATCATCAGTGAAAAAGGTTCTAAATTTCCATGGATAATAAGCAGTGGTCGATTGCTCTGCACATGAACTGTGCCAAAAGTTGCCTGGAAAGTCAGTGCGTTACTGTGCATATTAATTGTTGTTGTTGTTGTTGTTGTGAATTGCTGGTGACCGCGGAGTTTTCGGGTGAATTCATAGACTGGTCTCTTTAGGGTTTTGACCCAAATAGCTGCCAAATATGTTCCTAGGAACACGTACATTATGTCATAATGTATAAATAAGCAGTCAGAATCATACTCACTCCCAAAACTCAATGACTGGTGATGTGGCATATGGGTTGGTGAGGTTGGCAATGCTTTCATTGTTAAAATCCACACAGTTTTCTGTAAAGTTAAAACAATTTTGATAAAACAATTTTGCCAGCTTTTCATTCATGCATTAAAATAGTTTTACTTAGTTCTTAGGAATGCTTTATTTCATCTTCAAATGAACCAACCCGTGTTCCAGTAGTGACCACATGATGCCCAGGGCAGCTCTGTTGTAAAGCAGTTGAACAGGTAGAAAATGGCCCAAGCCAATATAACCACATAATAAACATTCAAGTGGGCCTCGATGACTTGTGTCGCATAGCCAATGCCTATTAGAGAACACATAACCAATACTTAAAGACAGGAAACCATGCAGTTTTGCATCCCTTTTATTCTCATTCACTTATGATGTGTGTTCAGCTCAGCGAGTAGGAAATTAATAAAGAGAAAAATATGGTTTTAAAATGAACTAGAGTGACTTAAGCCTTACCTTCAAACAGCGGGCAGACTTTTCGCCAACATGTTATACCCCCTTCACTAGTGAACTGACCTAGCGCTGTTTCCAGGAAGAAGACTGGGATCCCACAGCAGATGAAGAAGATGACATAAGGCACAAAGAAAGCACCTAAAACAGACACATAAAGCTACACCTCTCAACCCATGGGCATTCATGAGACCCAGCTAATTTATTTAATGAATTCATGCAAAGGCAACTAATGTCCGACTAGCCTAATGCAACTAACCAAGAGAAATAGTAAATGTGTGTGACCGGTAATCATAAAACCTTTTTTTTTTTTTTTTT